CGCCCCGGCTGTGAGGGAACGGCGGGCAGGGAGGGCCAGCCTGCACCCCGCCCCGGGAAACTTGTGCCTTTTTTATTTGTCCTTTGCTTTTTCGGTGATTTGAGGGCGCCTGTTAGGGGCCGGGGAGAAATCTGTGGTTCAGTTTTCTTTTTTTATTGATTTATTTTCCCTTAAAAATTATTATTATTGAAGTACGAGGGAATTTGAACCCTGGAGCTCTTCCACCGAGTTACAAACCCCAGCCCTTTATTATTTTAATTTTTATTTATTTTTTAAAATTTGAGACATGGTCTCAAATTGGAACTTTCCATTCTCCTGTCTTAGCCTCCTGAGTAGCTGGGATTACAGACAGGGGCTCCCAATTTATTGATTTTTCTGTTACTGGTTTGTTCCCTTTGACACCCCTTAGTTGTCTATTGCGCTGGATTTTTCCCTCCATGTAAGGCCTGAAGGGGATATTCTAAAGTTAATGAGCAAGAAGAAATTGGGAATCTTGCATGATGCCACTACACCAGGGGCGCTGTTAGGAAGAAAATTGTTCAGTCAAATTTATCGTTAAAAAACTTAAATTGTACTTGCAAGCGCAAGGACCAGAGTTTGATCTCTGGTACAAAAAACAAAACAAAACAGCAACAAAAAAACCCAATAACAAAAAACAAACAAATTGCTGCTCGGGATTTAGCTCAGTGCCTGGCAAAGGCAAATTCCTAGGTTTGATTCCCAGTACCGGAAAAAAAAAAAGACTTAAATTGCAATATATAACTGGTATTTATTTAACCCAGGATTATGTATTTAACCCTGAGTAATGTTTTTATACAAGTTGAAATTGAATAATCCCTAAAATAGACTCGATGTACAGGGGAAGGAAATTGCTTTGCTATGGGGACAGTTTTGAATTCAGTAGCTCTAGAGTGGAGCGCAATGATTTTTGTTTGTTTGTTTCTGGGTTCAATACCCAGCACATAAAAAATAAAGTGTTTTTTCTTTGTTTGCTTGTTTTTTGGCACTGGGGATCAAAGTCAAGCCCTTGTCCTTGCGAGGCAGCTGCTGTGCCACTGGTCTGAGAGAAAAGTTTTTGATACTTGATGCTGCTGCCATTAAGTCTATACTTTGAGAACCAGTGACAATTCTCAAATTTCCCTCAGGAGACTGGGGTGGGTAAGGAACTTTTCTCTTTGGCTGCAGATTTCTTTTTATTTTAATTTTTGTCTTTTGAGGCAGGGTCTCCTTACGCTCTTCAGGCTAGACTTGAACTTACCAGGCTGGCCGTAAACTTGGATCAGTTCTCCTGTTTTCAGCCTCAAAAGTGCTGTGATTTCAGATGTGTGCCACCATACTCAGCTTGTCTATTTTAACACTGAGCCTCATAGACTGAACTTCAGTTTATACATTTGTTTGTGGTTGTCTGGGCACACAGTACTGATATTTAGTAGGTGCTTAATAAGCATTCAGTGGCTATGAACAGAACACTTGCTTGGTCAGACCCATGTGGAATTTCCAGTTGTACAATTTTCTTCTATCAGGAATAGCACCATTTATCCAGCACTCAGCAAACATTTCCTCACATCTGTCACGTACTGTGTTGAACTGTGCTGGACCTGGAAATCATTAGAGGCATCGTGAGGTAGATGCAGCATAAGCGCAGAAGTACAGTATGATCTGCTAAACTGGAGTAAAAGTGACCCCTTCAGGGGGGTTCCCGGCTGGCTTCACATGGGAGGAAAGGTCAGCAGGCAGCAGAGGCTGGAGACCTCCTGCGAGCCACCTGAACTCCAACCAGAACTCCGGAGCCTTCCCTGCAGATACAAGCAGGAAGCCAAAAGCTGATCTTGAGTCTCCTTGGGCTGCTTCTGGCTCCCTGTGCCCTGGCCCATCTGCAGTAGGGGTCAGAAAGTGGGCGCAGCCTGTCACTTTGGTACTGTCCTTGGGATCCAGTGGCCATCGGTCCTATCAGGGCTGGGCAGAGTTAGTCAAGCAAACCCCAGGTGGCACAGGTCAGCCCTGGCAGGTGGGCAGCTGGACCTTCTGTCCACACTCTGGCCTGCTTATCGCTTGCCACTTGCTGCCCCAGCCTTTCAGGTTTTCTCTGTATCAGCCAAACCTTTTTTATTTTTCACACTTGCTTTATAGCGTTTGAATCCCTTAATAGCTTTTATTTTGGAGGATAGATGTGGTGGTGGTGGTGGTGGGGACACGGGTGTTGGGGGCAGGCCTGGCCCAGAGGGGTTATGACGTGAGCAATACCACAGCTCAGCTGTCTGACTTGGGACAGATTGTCTCTTAGAGTCTCAGTTTCCAGTCTGTAAGATGGGTATTATAATGGACTTCCTATATAGGACTGTTGTGAGGCTAAGATAATGTATATTTAAAAGCAGTACAGTGCCTGGCCTGTCATAAGCACTCCATAGAAATCAGTACTAGAACTATTATTTTTTTTAAAGGGCTTCAATAGTACATGTTTACAGTATGTAATGATTATATTTACGATGGAGAGTTGGTACATGTACATTCCGTATCGTAATTCTTTTTTTAATCCCCTTGCCTTCCCCTCAGGCCCCTCAAGCTTATTATTGTTATAATTAATCATTATTAAGTGGCATCCTGTCTGTAATGAACTGTGAGTTCCAATATGCTGAGTCCCTGGAGGAAGAAAGGTGCTAGATGCAGTCGAACCTACACCCACAGGCACCTTCCCTGTACCTTCTGCATCCCCGGGCAGGTTCTTCTCTCTAGAGGGTTGCCCTGGCGACCCATTGGGAAGGAAGGCTTCTGTGGATAGGTCACCTCTGTCCTCCTTGTGGCTTGCCCACATACTTGATAGATCAAGGGCCTTTAGGAATCCAGGTAAGTTTGGATCCAGAGCTAGAGTTTATGACCCACACTCTCAGACAGCTTCATGGGCATGGGACCTGTGTGGTGGAATAGAAGCACCCTGGATTTGGTTTATTGCTATACCATTACCTTCTTCACATTTCTGATACTCTGGAACAAGAGCCCTCTCTTTTTTTTTTTTTTTTTGGTTTTTTGAGACAGGGTCTCACTATGTAGTTGAGACTGACCTGGAACTCACTATGTAGCTCGGGCTGGTCTTGAACTCACAGCGATCCTCTTGCCTCAGCCTCCCAAGTGCTGGTGTGAGCCACCACGCCCGGCTAAGCATTTAATTTTTTTTTTTTTTTTTTTTGGTACCAGGGATTGAACTCGGGCCCTTGCGCTTGCCAGGCGGGCAGTGGAACCACTGAGCTAAATCGCCAGCCCCTGAGCCCTCATATTTTTTGCATCCAGTGAATTATACAGCTGGTCCTGCCTATACTTTCATAATGAAGACATCTTCTATGTGAAGAGAACTGAGGTTCAGGGGCAGGGACTGACACAGGGACACAGGGGAGGAGCCACTGGCTGGGGGGATGGAAGGAAAAGGTCTCCTGCCCATCTTCCCATACTACCTTTCCCACCCAGCCCTTCTGGCGTAGAAAGATCCAGGCACTCTGCCCCTCTTTGAGTTCAGGGGCCAGGTGTTTATGAGAGACTGGGTAAGGCCCTGAGTCTCAGTGTCTGTCTGGGTGAACAGTTCTCTCTAGGTGATTCAGTTCATTCTAGGGTGACTTCACGGGGCTAAGGGACATGGGTGGAGTTGGGGACCAAGGAAGCTATGAACTGTGATACTCAGGAATGAGATGCCTGAGCTTTGACTTATCCCCTGCCTCTTGCTCTGAGACCCAGTGAGACTGATGTCATCTTACCTGGGCTGAACGGGTAGACATGAGTGCCCAAACACCTGTAGCCCACAAGCTGTGTAGAATCCTGTGTGAGATATGTGGGTGTGTAAGATTGTGTGTACATGTGGCCCAGGAATTTGGAACAGTGGTTCTGCTACCTGCCTCGCAAGCGCAAGGGCCCAAGTTCGATCCCTGGTACCCCCCCCAAAAAAAAGCAAGATTGTGTGTGTGTGTGCATATGTGTTGTGAGGGAGCGGGAAGCAAATTGAGTACAGAGGAGAAAGTATCTGGTTGATCTGGTTGTAGCTACTGCTTAATTCCACTTACATTCACTGGGCATAGTGTTGCATGCCTGTAATCCTAGCACTCTACAGGCGGAGGCAGGAGGATCACCAAGAGTTAGAGGCAGCTTGAACCGCATATGGAGGCCCTGTCCCCCCCCAAAAAAAAAAATCCATGTATATTGCAGATCTAGAGGAGAACAGACCCTGGGAGATGTGGGGTCCTTAAAATGCTTTCAGACTAGTGAACAAGACAATCACAAATACATATAGTTTGTCTCTTAGTGTTTGCTCTTTACTTCTATGGAGAAAGTCTCAGTGTGAAACAATGGGGTTATAGTTGGCAAAAGGGATGTGAACTACAAACACATCCTGGCTGATGCCACATCAGACCTTGGGATTTGGGAGGTATTTGGGTTGTGGCTGCAAGTGAAATTAACTTTAATGTTCCAAATAACTCACCTGCAGATGCCTGGAATTCCACTGGGGTCTTGCTCTAGGATTAAGCATTATTCCTATGTTCCTGAGACCCTGTTTAAAATTCAGCAGTAGTGGTAGGGATCGTTCATTGTTCATGGAATTGATAACAGGACAAGTCCTGTGCCAAAAGATGGGGCTGCCCAAGGACCCTGCGCTCCAAGGGATTCTCCAGATGGGTACTACAAGCAGAGCCCCCCTCTGCTGCTGACTCATTTTAGCTGTGCAGAAGGGGTAGCCAAAGGGAGAGAAGTAGAGAAGTGGGTGCGATCAAAACCCCACCTCAGAATCCCAGCCAGCCTCAGTCTGGTAGCTGAAAAGCTAGAAGCTCCACTCAGCTCACACGAGGACCTCTGCAGGGCCTGGGGTGTCAGCCCGTCCCTCCTTTGAACCTCCTGGGACGGTCATACCTTTCCTCAGTGACAGCTCTGTGGCTGCCCACAAGACTTGACAAGAACTTTGAATATCGTAAAGCACATCCGACCCACGACGGCCATCCTTCAGTGAGCCTATCACCTCTCCTAGCCAGCGGCCACATTTGGCACTCTGTGCTCAGGCGAAGAATGTGGAGCTCAGCCACCCAAGAGGCCTCTGGAGTGAGGCAAAGCAAGTTCCCAGTGGCCACGGGAGTATTGCCCCAGGCGTGACCAGGCTGCCCAACTGGTCCACATGTGCAAGAATCTGCAGGCTTCCTTCCGTGCTTCCTTCCTCTCAGTCCCTCCCTCATCACCCTACCTGGGGGCAGGTAATAAAGCAGGAGGAGGGAGATGGATGGATGGGGAGGGCGGAGAGCCACGTGGTGCTATAAAGCCCAGCTAGAGAGGGCCGTGCAGTGTCCCGCCTACAAGAGCAACCGGCTCGGGGTGGACTTGCAGCAGAAGCACTGGGCCCAGGAATAAGACCATGTATCGGGGAGCACCGGGGCTAGGTCTTAGAGGCCTGAAGGGAGTGGAGGGCTCGGTGGGGGACTTAGGGGGCTCTCGCTCAGAGGCTGCGAGGGATTTTGGGGTACTGAGGGAGAGCGGCGCCCCCCGCGGGCTGGGCGAGGCAGAGGAGACAGCTGGCAGAAAGTGCGCCCGGCCCGTGCGCTCCCAGG